CATGGGAAGTGTGGGTGTCATGGGCTGTGGCCATGAGCAGCTGAGTGAAATACATTCAAAGCAGGGGCTTGACAGGTCTGACACTGCCGTGGCATACTGTGCATTTACAGTTTAGCACTGTTGCCGTGTTTAGCACTGTTGCTCTAGTGCTCTATGTGCCAAATGAAGTCATTAGCAGATTTGAGATCTATCAACCATCTGTGCCTGGTATCTGTTCATCCTTGAGTGGGAAAGAGCTATCCGTGCAGAGCTATAGGGGGATGTAGTGGTGCTAGAAGGCCTCTGGGGTATGTCTTGGTCATTTGAATTAGTGTGCCCCTCACATAGCATTTACTGCCCACCCCTTCCTCTTGGATAGTGTTTGCGTCTCTTGGGAAGCCTGCTAACATGAGAAATGGTTACAGCATCTTTTGTTAAATATTTGCCAATGACCAGGAATACCCAGCCAGCTTTGGTGTGAATGAGAAACTTAATAATCCATGAAGGGTTTTTTTATATCTTTAATTTACATTACACTGGGTTCATAAATTAGGGAAAAAAGTGTTAGTTATGGCTTTCTTCCTGGTGGTGGGTTAGAATACACCAGCTGTGACACACCATTTACATAGATGGCTGGAGTCATTGTATATCAAAGCTGAAAATGATATTGACCCTATCAGTGCAATATACCCTTTGGTAGTCCTTCTTGTGAGGGTTTCTTAAGCGTGTGATAAGAGCTGCCTCACTGCATTGCAGTAATGTACAGGAGCACATGGAGACAAAAAGATTGATTATTAGTCCTGGTGTTTGTAATTTGATCTGTGCAGCAAGTGTTAGCCAATAATGATTTGTTTTCTTTCCCTCACTCCCTTATTGACATTCTCCATTGTCTTAGTGTCCGAAATTCCACATCTGGAATGTCCTGCTATCAAGTCTGAGTCTGCTTTATTTAACCCAAATGCAAATCCATAGTATGAAGCAATATGAATGAGGTCTGAACTGAAAGCAAATTCAACTTGGTATGTTGCCAAACTGAAGCCTTCATACCCTGTCAAATGCAAACACCAGAATAAATCTTCATGACTGTCCAGCAGACTGTGGGTCTGGCACAGACAGAGATTGCTCAGACAGTAGCTCCAGACATCTTGAGAGCAGAGACCTCCTTACAGGGTAAATTTACAGAGTTTTCATGTGTCACTCAAAGAGGAAATAAAATTTAACAGATTGCAGTAATTTTTGTTTGCTGATAAAATATGCCTGAGAATAATGGTCAGTCAGTATGGTTGGTTTACTCTCTGTGTGTTTACCAGTCTGGAAAAGACTATGTCTTCTACTAGGGTTACCTTTCTGAGTACAGGATACCTCTCTAAAACATGTGCAGTCTCTCAAAAGAACAAATATTTTTATTTAATTCAATCAGTTTATATAATATTGTTTGTTGTTTGAAATAGCAGTTCCTTTTAAATAAACTTGCAGGATTTATTGCCATGCAGGATTTACTTACATGCCAAATGCTGAGAATTGATTCTTTAAATTGCTAGTGAACTGTATGGCCAATCAGCCTATGATGATAAGCCTTGAGAGCTCTAGGATACTCCTAAGAAAGTTTTGCATTGCAGAGGTTTGAAAAGTCTCTGACTCTCCCCTGAGAATTTTCCCTAAGTTCTCATGCTGGGAGATGTGTTATTTCAGAAATTTTAGAAATGGCAAGGAATTCAACTTTGCAACTTTGAAGTTCTGAAATATGTGGGCATTTTTCCTTATTTGTGGGTATAACAAACTCTGTGAGTACTCTGTTCTGTCTCCATATGTGGATATGCAGTTTTAGTGCTGCATAGCTGGACAGAGAGGAATTTTTAGAGGAATCAGAAGGGACAAGCTGAACAACAGCACAAATTAAATAACTGAGATAAATGATTCTGCAGGAGTTAAGATGACAAGGGCCATGCTTTTGTAAAGAAAAACCCATTTCTTGAAGCACCAGATTGCCAAGAATTGTTTGTTCTTATTTTAAAATCTGGGATCACACAGAATCAGAACCTGATTGTAGTATAAGGAATAAGGTGGGTCAGTTAAGGCAGAAAAAAGACAATACAAGGTGACCATGAAGCCAGAAAGAATACTGTGATGCATGAGAAAGACGTTGTTTGTTTGCCTTTTTTTTCCCTAGAAATGGAGTTAGTTAACTTCCAGTCCCAGTAGGTTTTGATCTGTAAATGATTGCCTTGGGAATAAGCAGCTTACCTGTGCTCTCCTGTGGCAGTGTTAGATACTCCAGGTTTAGCTGTTATTTGAGCTATATCTGTGAATCCTGGGAAGCTGGGAAAATGGCTTTTTCTTCAGTGTTCTATAAAAGAAATGCCTTCTTCATTGTGTTTCTTGGGAGGTGTGATCTACAACATCAACTCTTGTGGTAGACTGTTGGATTGAAATCTCAGAACTCCCCTTGGTAGGACTGATCTTTAACTTTGAGATTTAAAACTTCTTAAAAGTTTATGTAAATAGAAATGTAGAGGAGATTCAGTAGATTTTTAGAGACTTTGTAGCAAATCTAAAAGAAAACAAATAAAAAACCCCATCCTCAGTTGACAGACTATGGAGATTTCATATTTGATACCTGTCACCAGCTGGTAACTGTCCATGAAGGATTGTCATTATATCAGAATTTCTCACACCCTAAATGATGAGATCTTCCTCCCACCACCACCATCTCAATTCCTCTCTCTCCCCTTGCTGAGGATAGAAAGCAGCCGTAACAAAGGTTACTATCTGTAGCACACTTTATATGTACATCACTGGTTTTCTTGTACCTGAGTTTAAAAGTGGGGAAAGATTGTCTCCTAGGAGGTTAATCAAACCTCAGAGCACCTGAAACTTCTTATACCTTTGGTAGGATTGTGTGCAAAATCTTGTAGCTCAAAATTCACTTGACCAGTTAGACTTCTGCCTGTGTTTACTTACTTAAATACGTTTTTAGATCTGTCCCTGTATACTTCGGATTCCCAGTCTCATATTTGAAATGGCAAATAATTGGGAAATAGATGGTATTTCACTACTTCACTGGGATAGTGAGGTGCAACTGCATCCTGTGAAAATATCTAAAACAGAGAGGTTAAAAAGTGTCTCATGAGCTACTCTTGAAAGAAGCCCTTGATGTCTGAATCTCAGAGCATCCATTCATCTCACATTTTTCGTCGCATATATTCTGGTATAAAAAGCAAATGCATGTTTATGAAAAGGAAAAAGTAAAACTATTGCTACTTCTGTGTGTGAAACTTTTCACATAATAGAATACATACCTTTAATAGAAAATTATGAAACAGTCTCTATAACTCTACAGTGATCAAAATGCAATACTGTTAATATAAACAGTTTTATGGTAATAATAGGAGATTTGCAAGGAAGAGGGATTCATTTAGTTCTAAGAGGTGTTTGACCTCTGCTACTTCATAATCCATTAGAGAGAGCTAAGGTCCACATAAGCTGGCTTTCTTTCTCTTTTACCTGGAAGGCATTATTTTTTCAATAAATACCAAAATCAAGTCAATATTTTTAGAACCAGGATAATTGCCACTTTAAATGGACTAATCTTTGCTCAGAAGTTGTCTGACACTTTATATCCAATGCCAGCAGGAAAGAAATAATTAAGATGTATGCTTTTGGTAATTGATTGGGAACATTTGAATGCGTTACATAAATAATAGACTAATCAAAGTATTGTCTAACCATTTAAAAAACACATGCCCTGCTGCATGTTCATTTATTTAAATTAATGTTGCTGTCAGAATTTATGAGAAATTTTGAAAGAGGATTTCATTTTCACCTTATGGTTAATGCTCTCATAAATAATAATTTGTCAATTTATAGGATAAGATACACTATTGAATTGTTCAGTGTACCTCTTTAAAATAGAGGTGTGCATTTACTGTTCTGGGCAATTACTCTATGGATAAAACTGCAACTTTCAAATCTCATTTTCACGTCTGCCAAATCCTACTCTAACTCATTTTCCGTTCTAACAAGAATTAATGATATTAATAATCTGATGTTATGCAGAAGAGACCTGGGACTTTTCTTGTATATGCAGGATCATGCAGTGTTTTTCTACACAAAATGTTTTATTAGTATGTCATTGATAACTGGCCAGCAGATTATCTAAAAAATAAAAAAAAATACAAACCCAACTGTTCCAAAAAAAATCAGATATTTTAAAAATGTGTTAGGAATTGGGTACTAGTTCTTGATTAAGCCCATGAAAATGATACTTACTAATCATTTACAAAGTGCTGATCTATCTCGGAGTTGAACACCAAAAAACTTCAGTCTGATAGTTTGGGGTAGGGCTATATCTACTTGCAAGCAACTTCCGTTCTTCTCCACTCTCTTCTAAAACCACTTTAGCTTTATATGATTGTATGAGGGAAGAATACACTATCAAGCTGAATATTTGATATTAAACGAAAGGTTCTATTTCTCTTGAATGGCAGTTTGAACATGCCTTTTGTGGGATCTTTTACATGCAAACCAAAATACCCATAATGTGAAAGATACGCTATTGCACAGTCTTTGTTTTTATTTATGCCCATATCAGGCTTCCACAGTCAAGGCACCTATTTACTTCAAAACTGTCCCATATGTATTCTTTGGGCTCCACTGGTACTCATTTAAAGGTGCTGTGACAGCCTGGGATCAGCAGAGTCCCTGCATGGAAACAGCCACTCTTTTCATCAGCAGTCACTGTCATCTGCTATGTTGTCTCTGGGCTGAGCTTCTCAGGGTCTGTGTTGGGTGGCTTTTTTTTTTTCCCTCTGGACAGGAAAGTAGGGCCTCTGCATGTGTTTAACCCCACATTTTTTGCAGGATACTAATATTTCTGCTTTTAATTGACTGCAGTTTTACAAGAGAGTGTGTCCCAGATGTGATTGCTCTAAAATGAAAGAGCACCAGTGTTGGGTTTGAATGTTTCCCATCCAATTACCAATTGCCCCTTCATTTTATTTTGAAAGTTTTTTCACTTGAGTATGGGGTTTCCAAATGATTCTGGTAATCCCGGATTTTTTCTCTTGTTTTTACAGGTGACCTGTAACTGTTTCACCATCAGTAATGGAGAGATGCAGGATGTTGGTGTTGGCCTGTATCCCAGGTACTGTGGACACTGTTTCATTCAGAGGCAAAATCTATGTTAGTTTTTTTTCCTAGGTAGCTGTAAGGGCCATCAAAGCAGCAGGTAACATGTCTAAACGAGAAACTGGGAAATGCAAATAAATTAAAGGAGAATAAAAAATATGATCAAGTTGAAAACATTCTTAATAGTCCTGATTACAGAGTTAAAACAGTTTAAATAAGATACATCTATTTTATTTTTATGGAGATGGTAGTCTTTTCTAACTAAGAATAAATGCTGACATCAAAATGTGTGACTGGGACTACTAAAAGGAAACCTGTTCAGCGTTGCTTGAGAATACAGATATTTTGCAGCTGAGAGCCTTCTGAACTGGCAATTAAAAGAAAAAGATGGAACGCAATTCATTAGTAAATTACCATAACTAAGAAACCAGTAAGGTGAAAAGATAAGCCCCTTGGGAGATGGATGTTAATATTTGAATTTATTATTATTTCTTATTTGTATTAGGTGAGAGGTACGTACCAGTGAAGGTTTTTGCATTCATAGAATTAGTTACCAGTAATTATTAATGTGGAAAATCAGTATGTATAGTTTAAAATTATATTTTACCATCTCAATTTTTTGTTAATACATGGTTGAACTATGTTGTCAATACCTAAGTGGGCCTGTCACTGTTGTTTCTTTTTCTACTAATGTCACACATGTAGGATTTGACTAAGGACACTTAATAACTTGAGGCCTACCTTGTGGTAAAGATAAGGGAAAGGTGGTTAGGAGGACGTGGGAATTAGTGTTATGAAAAGTACAGAACAGTCATTCGATTTTGTAGTGGAATGGAAACAAATCCTTTCACATACTTGGGAAAACTGGAACATTATTTTGGAGCATTATTATTAGTGAAATGTTTTATTTTGGTTGAAAAAAGTCCCTGACTGCAAAGAAAGTGTCTGTCTATGTTCTGTGATAATGCACTGCCAAGGTATGCAAGAGACTCTTTCCCAAGTCATTTCAGAGCAGTTTGAGTTTTGCTGTAGCAAATCACTCCGAGCTGGGAAAATTGTGAACTTAAATCTGTGGTTCCCAAATCCTAGACAAATGTCCTTCCAGATGAATTCATATGCTTCCAGATGAAATTGTCATCAAACCCACTAGTGTTTCCATGAGATGAAATTTTATTTTAATCAAAAAAGTGCTTTGTTTAGTCTCATTAAGAGGTTGTATATTGTTGCATGGCTTGATAGCTTCAGCATCCCAATATATTTTAAAACAGATAAAATCCTGTGGTCCTTCTCTGCATCACCTTGCCAGCAGCTTTGGGAGTATGCCCAGTGATCTCACAATAAGTGAAATGTATAATCTCTCCCAGTGCACTTTACTGGCTTCATGTGGAGATTAACCACACGTATTTTATTAGGCCAGAAGGGGTATCAAAAGAGTCAGGGTCCTGTTGATAGCTCCTTTAAGAGTCAAGAACTGAATAAACACGGTTTGATGCAGGGCTCTGACCCTTGGCAACATCCTCTATTTTGCCAAAAACAATTGGGATTTTGAGTTGCTGAATCAGGCAGACAAGGAAAGCAAATAAAGGCAACCAGGAGCTGGATAAGCCAAAAATTCCTCTTCCAGCCTGATGATGCCAGAATTATTCTTTCAATGGGTCATTCCCATAGGGGAAGAACCATCAGCCCCACGTCTGCTATGGGACTGATGTTGGCCTGGCAAAGTCAGTTGTTTCTCAGCTAATGAAACATGGGACTCAAAAGTATATAGCGGATGTTGTTGATGTTGTTCTTAACAGTCTCTTTCAAAAACGAGGGAAGGGCATGTCTGTGTCGGGAGACCCACCAGAATGTGTGTCTCTTGGGGGTGGCAGCAGCTCCCCAATGAGCTGTGCAGCTTCAGCTGTCACACAGCACAAGTACAGAGGCTGAACCAAAACAGGCAGAGGCAATGGCTGTATCTCTTCTTTCAATTCTAAACACCAAGTACTTTGGTTTTGGGACATAGTATACTCCATTTTCTACCTGATATGAAATACAGGTTGATTGCTGGCCCCTTTGAGCTGCGGTTCCGCTGACAGTCAGGATAACCGATAAGGTTAGTGCCCTGAAACTGAGCAGAAGCAGCAGAAATAAAACACAGTCCCAAGGTACTAACCTTTTGCTCTGAACTGTCCAGGTTGCCTTTTTCCCTGCTTGCCTGCTTTGCCCTCTCCCCTGAGTCAGGCGTCTTGGAGAGTCACTGGGAGGCCATCGCCTCCCTCCCACCCTGAGTACACAGAAGGCAGAAACAAGTGAAGAGATCCAGGCATGGCTCCTATTAGCAATGAATATAAATCTTCTAAGCATTAATTTTCCTCCCTTAACCAAGAGCAGCTGATTTACCAGGGATTTTATTTGTTTCGTAACTTAATTGCTTGATACTTCAGATATAATCATGTTAGCTACTTTTAAATGATTAAAGGGGAATGACTGTGGAGGCTCCTCTGTAAAGTTCTTTCTCTCTCTTTCTCCCCCTCTACCACCCCTCACAGCATGTCTTTACTGAACCACAGCTGTGACCCAAACTGCGTGATCGTTTTTGAAGGATACCAGCTTTTACTTCGCTCTGTCCGAGAGATCCAGATTGGTGAAGAGGTAATTAACTTGTCCTCCCTTCCATCACAGACACCTGCAACAATGACATCTCCCTAAATAAATTCCAGACTGCAGGGCCACCAGCTTAATATTTTGATGATATATTGATGCCACTTTCTAGCACATAGCTATCAGGGGGAAAATGATAAATAGAATCATCTCTTCACACTGCCTGGGCCCCATAATCATTACTTCTCATAAATCACTAGCAGTCTTGATAAATTCTTGTTCCTCCTTTTCTCCTCTAGGCACTTCATTTTGTTTGTATTTGAACGTCTTTATCCTGATGGAAACACTTACAATATTTCTGGGTGGAATGCAGTGTTCACTAAGTCGTTGCAACAAAAAGCATTTGTCAGGCTGCAACCATACTGTTGTAGTAAACCTTTCATTGACAGTGAAAGTAGCAAGACAAGATTTGTTTTCTTGTCCATTTCACTAGAAAAGACTTCAAAATATCCCTTTCAATAGGTTTCTGATTTGATCTAAGGTATTCTCAGCGTTGTTTTTACAACAGCATTGGTATTACTTTGAAAATAATCATTTGTGGCTAGGTAAGCATTTCAAAGTAAATGTCTTTGCAGCAGTGCAATATTGAATTTGCTTAGTAAGGCCTGCAAAGACGTGTGTATATATGTGACTTTACATGCACCAATGACCTATGCAGTCCCAGCTGTTCGTCATTTCAAAATCATGACCTAATGTAAATATGGTTCATGCCTGTGCTTCAAACTCTGGGAAGATCAAGGGCATACATATTCTAATTTAGAAGTAGTATCTTTTTTCCTCCCTATGAAGTGTTTCCTTTTTTAATGTATCCTTTCTGTAAGATAGTAGGCCATCAAAATAAGTAAATACTAAAATATTTTTTTAGGCAAAATATTGTGGAGAACCAACAGAATTGCTTTTGCATGCTTACCTTTTTGCCAAGAGAAATCTTTTAGGATGCATTATACATTTGCAAAGCTATTAAGTGTAGACATCTTTTGGTCTGGCATTCTTGTTCAAGCCAAATTATAGACACTTTTCTTTGATTTTATCCATATACCATAAATTTCCTCTTGGCTTCCCAATTCACCAAGATGAGTTGTTGATTTAAAAATACAGTAGATTTTAATGTATTCCCAGGATACATTTGGGTTGATTATTAGAGTTCTAAATTCTGAAGCTATCTTACTGTTATGTATGTGGATGCATTTTTCTAGGTAAATTTCATAAAGCAATTCTTGGGAACAAGCAGCTTTTACAGAGCAGGAGAGGCCCTCAGGTGGCCCTGGGTGGTTTTGGAGTGAGAAGTGAAGTAGAATTCCCTTGCAGGTATGACCACTGTGCAGACTGTGCTATGGCTGTGAAGCTATGACCCAAATTTTAGACTTAGTGTTAGAGGTCTGTAACCCACAGAAGCCTCTAGGTTAAAATCAGTAGTGAAACAGATATGGTGTAAGTTACAAGTCATTTGTAAAGCAATCAGGAAATAAATATAAGTTATAAGGCAGGGCAGCTAGGACCAGTTTGTTTGCAGTGACTTTGGCAGTTGTGTGAATATAGGCTTTAAAATGACTGCACCTTATGTGGGCATATTATATTTTTCTAAAAAACTTTGCCTCCAATGAGGCAGTAAAATAAAGTCAGAATTTTCCAAAGAGCTCAGGTTCTGGTGTCTTTGTTGTGACTATTGCTTCTGGTTTTGATACTGAAAGGAAAACTTGCCTTAAGGAACGTGTAAGATTTTATTATATATACACTGTGTTAAAGCAGGTCCCCTCTTGACCACCTGGAAATAAAAGTCTCAGTCCAAGGTGCATACTTCTTTGAATAAGGGTGTGTCTAAGGAAGAAAATGGGCATAAGTGAGACAGTAAAGATACAAACTGAATATTAGTTTAGAACTGTTATGGGAAGAGGAAGGAAAAGAAAATTATTATAAGGGTATGTACAAGTCAGCAGTTTAATATTATTTTCAACACCCAATTACTTTTACACAACTGCTACCGCTTTTCGTTTTGTGTTCTGCATAGTAGCTTGGTACAACTTCTTTCTACATTGCCTTACTGCTTGCCTGCAGCAGGGTGAGCTCGGTTTTCTTAATAGCCATGTATAGAATTTACACACTTATGTACATGAAACTACATTACCTGCTATGAGCTGAGTTTTTACTTACATTACTGAGGTCATGACCTGAGCTAATGGGAGAGAAAATATATGTTAGGGAGGAATCTGTTTGGGTTTTCTGAATAAATAGAGTGCTCTGAGGTGGTAAGATGAACATTGTTTCAAGTCATGAGGCAACAAGAAAAATAATGATAAGCAGTAGAAAACTTGCCTTATCCTGTTCAAATGTACACTAGATTTAGACAGAATGAGATCCCCTATGTAATAAGTAATTGAAAGTAAATAAGCACTAAAATTTATTAGAAATGAGAAGCTAAGTAGCAAGTCAAGCTCGCAATAGCAGAAGAGGACTATGGTTTCGCTATCCATACAGGAACAAACTTGATAGGGCTTCTGGACCCTTTCCAGGAAAGTATCAACCACTGCAATATGATGTGTTCACTAGGCCAGTGAGAAGTAAAAGTATTTTTGCACATTTGTAGTGCTTTCTATCAGAGGATAGTACAACAATTTACTCATGTTAAGGAGTTGTTGACCACCTATAATCCCAGGGAAAACAAGAGACACAGGGAGTTGAGGTGACTGGCTATTGTGGTCATCTCACAATTATATAAAGAGGGAGGCACCAGTAGACCTGTTTTGGTTGTAATCCAGAAGAAAGATTATTACATTAGAAGTAGCTGCTGCAGTGTGATGCAGATTTATTCAGGAATGACATTTATGCCCCAACCACACTTTAGAGTGCTCATGCTATACACAGTAATTATATTTATCAAGTCAGTGATAAAAAGCATGCAAGATTATAAGAACCTCAAAAAGGTTTTATGTCCTGATGGAAGTCGTTTCAGTTCAGTTTTAGTCTCATGTCTAGGCAGATTTTGTTGGCGTTACATGTTTTTGACAGGAAGGCATGTGGCATTTAGTGGTTTTTAATTGAATTTTGGTTTGGGCTTTGAAATTTTTTAAAATCCTAAGGCCAAATCAAAATCTCAGGCAGTAGAAAATTAGGAGTCCTGAGCCAGAAAATGTTTGCCTGAATCATTATAGAATGAAAATGCTAAATTTGATGGTGCTGTATATTTGGAAAACTAATCACTCCTAAAATCATACGCAAAAATTCTAGCCATCTAAGGCCTTTTTTGTGGCAAAGACAGTTGCCAGTCCTGAAGCACTAAGAAACTGTGAGTCATGAATATTACTTTTTTGTAGGCATTGAAAGGGTTAATGTATAATTGCATGGTTTCCCAAGTTGAACCTTTAAGAAAACAAAGTGTGTTGCAGGAATCATAATAAAATACTGAGAGTTGGCAAGATGGAGAAGTGTCTGGTCCTTAAATTTTGCTTTGGAAACCAAAAGTTCAAATTTATCTTTAGGCGTATTGTTTGGGTTTTATACTAATGTGGTTCTATGGAATTGCACGCTCTTTGCAGGCAGAAAGTTACGATTTTAAACAAAACCACACTATGTACCCATTGGCATTTGCCAATGAATGCTTTAGTTGACGTTCAGAATAACAGCTTTCATTTGTATCATTCTATAACTTATTTTTCTGTTTAAATGACATTTATAATCCTCATTGAATGTAGAATTTTTAAAGTGAAAATTTGGCTCTGATATGAAACTCCCTTCAAGCTTGGTAGCCTTTCTTTTTTTTCTTCCCTACCCTTGCTCTGACTCTGTTATAATTCATATAAGGTGGTATGGTAGGTAGAATATCCCAAATTCTAGTGTTTGACCAGCTGGTAATGATCACCACTGAATTTAAGTCCTGCAACTGGCATAAAGGGAATGAAACAGACAGGGAACAGAGGAGAGGACAAACAAAGTGAAAGGAGGACAAGGCTTGGAGCAACTATTGATCTCCATGCATAGACTGGGGGTCAAGGTGGCTAGAATGGATCTCCTAACACTGTAGAATCTACTCTGTACCAGGTTTTTGAGCATAATTAAACCTAATAGCAGGAAGAAAGAAATAGATTTTTGTGGGGATTTTATTCTCTATGTCCCTACTTAAAAGACTACAGGACTTTCTGAAACTTGCTTCCAGCAGCTCAAAACTAATTATAACACCTTTTTGTTCCTCAAGATAATGTTAGTTGTAGTGCTGACTATCACAGCTTTTGTAACTTTAGGTGATGTTACTTTGACAGTATACAAAGATTTCCTTTACTTGCACTTTCTTTGCAAAAATGAAATTTAGGTATTGCAAAGAAAGGTAAGATATGGGGAAGGATTATAAGAAAGCAAAAACTATTCACCTTGAGATCACCAGAGCGCCTTCGGTGATAAGGTAGCCCATCAGCTAATTTACTTTCTCAAGGCAAGCAGCCTGCTCTGAAGAGGTCTTCATTATTTCCCTACCCTTAAGTAACCACTTTAAACAGCATCAAGATGTGTGCTATAATTTCAGTTGACTTTTTGTTAATTACTGTGTCTACCTGGTGTTTCGCAGGCAGACATGAGCTCATTTTGCCTATTATCCGATCAGAAGTTGTATAGCTATGGTTAGTTCAGTGCATAGCTCAAATCAGTTAGTCCTGCTGAGAGACAGGATGTATTAGCTGAGGTCCAGTTCTGCTCCAGAATGGGTGCAGGGCTTCTCATCAGCTTCAGGGTTCAGTTAGAGCAAATCTGTATCTTTCTGCAGAAAGTCACATAACAGACCGTACTGTTGCAGAGCAACTAATTTTTAAATTTAATACTAAATACAAATCATAATTTCAGAGACCAGCAATAAATCTATCTTCATGATAGATTTCAACCAAGATACCTAATATTTCTGTTATTACAATTCTATGAGAAGTTTTATATCTGTGTATGTTTGACACATTACATTTTTTTAAACCAATTTCTTCATTGAGGTAGAAGGCACTTTGATCATATATGCCAAAACAGAAGGAGGACAGACTGTTCACCATTTATATAACTCTGTCTCAGGAACAGATTCTTGTACACAACCCTCCCTAAGACCCTGAGACCCATGATTGCAAAAACAAGAGGACTCACTTCTTTTCCCTGCTGTTTGCATTAAAATAATTGATTTTAAATTTCTACAGAATCCTCTGTCTAGAAATTTTGTAGCTTATAGTTTGTTACAAAAAACATAAATTAAGTCCACTGCAGCATGGGAGTACTGGAAAATTGTGTCCACCTCATTTGGCAGATGAGGAACATGAGAAGCTAACCACCATACCCATGGTTAAAGAATTTCTGTGTCAGAGCGAGAAGCAGGGCTCAGACAGTGCTGCATTTCTAAGGGGAAAGTCTCGAGAGTCAAGAAATCTCATGGCTGTTAAATAATTCCCTGCCTTCATAAATGTTATTAAATATATATTCTCCAGTTCAGGGGAAAAGATTTACAGCATTCTTTATAAGCGAAGCAATAAAGAGGCAAGCTTTGGTCAGCTGAAATAATGTTTTAATTAATACCATACATCCCACATGCAAATACTATTAAGACAACCTTTGATAAATGGGCATATTTCCTAAATATGTACAAGTTAAATGAGCCTTGCATCTAATGAAGGGATCCAAAATTAAAACAAGTGTAGGAGAGAGACTTGAATACAGAATTTCTATGTTTAAACAATTAAATGATTAGTATAGACTTAGTCACCGTTAGGTTGGTCATGTTTCTAAATATTCTAATTACATTTTCCCACTCAGTCTGCCAGCTACAAACATTTTTTCACTTACAGATTTCTGCTGGCAGGACTGGGAACTTGGACTTGGGCCTCTGACAGCAAGAGAAACCCTAAGTTGTTAAAACTCTAAAAGCAGGTATCAATGTGATGAAGCCTCTTGTCCTCCTCCTTCTGCCCCATCATACGCTCTACTCCAGAGCAGGTTGTTACATGACTGTTCATATCCACAACTGTTTGGTAACCTCTGAAAAAGAAATTACTGGTTTCTAATTTGCTCCTACTTCCAAGGTTTCTGCAACGTGAATGAAAAGTGGAGGGAAAAAAAAAAAAGCCAAAAATGAAAGGAGAGAAAGGGATGAAGCCTGTAGGCTGAAGATAGATAAAGCATGTTTGATGTTGGCTACGTGTTTGTTTTGCAGTATTAGAACTGAACCCTGCCTATGATGGGGTTCAACAGTAATGATAGAGTTTAAACCATTGTCTCTAGTATTTTGGCAAAGAATAGACTCATCTCACATGAATGATTTTTTCCTAGAAGATTCCTACTGTCTTGCACTGTGCCTGAACTTGATTAAATCCCTTCTGCTAGATGCCACCTGAACCTAAAGTCTAGTAGGACATGAGTCGGAATCACTAATGTTTGTGCAGAGGGTAAGAGACAGGGAACAAGCCAGTGTGCAGAATGATTTTGACAGAAAACACTTGCAAGTTGCAAGGAGACATAAAGATCAGAGGCTTGTGATAGGAGAGGGAAATTGGGCTTGGAATGGGTGAAGGATGAGGTTAGGACTACAGCTTGACTGGAAATGGCTTTGTGGGAAGGGAGACAGATCTTTCTTACCACACGAGGAAGGATGCAGGCAGGGTAGGACCTGCTGGGGAAAGAAACGAGGACAAAGTTGGTGGGGTCACTGAAGATGACTGAGAAATCAGAGTAGGGCAACAAGGACCATTAACTTGGGAGAGTTAAGAGTGTTGGTGATCAAATATGGGGAAAAGGTGTAAGATGAGGCATGCAGAGGAGGCAGAAGGGCAGATCTGGGACAGGCAGGATGATGAAATTGGCCTGTTGTACCGAGAATGGCTATGTAAGGAGCTAGAACTGAGGGCTGGAATCCAGGTTCGGATAACCAGGTGTGGAGAATAAGACTGGAAAATTATACTCATCCAGGGGCAGAGAAGAGAGAGAATGAGAAGAGGGACAGACTGGAGAGAAAGGGGCAGAAGAGACCAAGCCTGGGGAGAAGAGTGCAAAAGAAATAGGGAAAACAATTTCCATCCATTCACTGCAGAAAGCTCAGAGGGAAGCCTGCAGCTCCTGTGTAAATGATTACTACAGACTGTTCTGTTGTAAACCAACAGTGGTGAAACTAATCCCCTCTCAGCTCAGACAAGCACAAGCTGGGGCAGAACAACATTGTATAGAATGCAAAACCTAACACAGTTCTCACACTTTCTAACTTTTGATTATCTGTGGAACTGTAATTTGTCTTTTTCATTAATTATACTATTAATCTTCAATTATGAGATCATATTTATTTTTTTCTGCAGGCTTTCTGCTTATGATCATTTAAAATGCTTGGATTTGCCGTCTCAGTAGTATTCTTTTAATACAGTAATCAAATTACACTGTAATAATAAATTAAAACATGCAGGCATTGTTTTAGTTGCTTGTTAATTGCTCATTTAATTAGAATGCTCACTAATTTGCAAAATGCAGGTTCTGACAATGGATTTCGTAATCATTACTACAAATTGGTCAGGTTTTCCTGTAATTTGTTTGAGTGGACTCTCATGATTTAACTGAGAACCATGTGAAAATTCTCCCAATTAGTTGAAGTGTCTAGGCTCAGGATGAAATAACGTGACCTGATTTTTTTAGCTCTGACCTCTCTGGAGTGTTTCAAAGTGTGTTGGGTGTATAGCGTAATCACTCAATAGCGTGTATGACTGAATGCTGGTCTGAGCTGGGCTGTTATTTTGTTATATTCTTTCCCTTATCATTAGTTTGTGCCTGTGCAGCACTTAAAACATTTGAAGAACTTTACAAATTGTTAGCCCTGTAAAATTCCTTCTGGCAGGCGTCAAAGTGAACAAACTACAGACTTCTCTGTAGTTCATTGGAATTCACTCTGTACAGCATGAGGAGTTGAAAATGGCACAAATGTAAGCATTTGCTTTTATCATTTTAATAAATTTTCTTGTCAGTAGTTTCAACAACTTTGCAATGCTTTTGTGCTTCCTTGGTCACAAAGGAAACATCACAGACATACTGAAGATGGGTATGACATATGAGGAGCTTTTCTCAGGCTCAAACATATGTTTGCAAAAAAGTAGGGGCTTCCCTGAGACAAAATTTTCAGAGGTAGTTGGATGTTGTGCTAAATACACACCAGTGCTAAATACACACTTAAGCTTTGGAGCTAGACAGAAAAGGAGATTTAATGCACAGGGAATTCAGACACTGAGCTTCTCTCCCTTCTCTCTCTCCTTTCTCTCTCTTTTCTTTTTTCTTTTTCTTCCAAATTAGGACAAAAAGTTGAAATAGTGATAATTGGGGGGCACTAATAATTTCAAACAATATTGATCTGGAAATGTGAAAAAGCGTTCCTCCATGGAAATAATTTTTGGCCTTTTTTTTCACCCTTTGTAAAAGTAGTCAATTTCTTCTAGGAAATCATCTGTTAAAATAAAATTTTATTTTATGCTGGAAAAAATGTTGTATCCAACATACACTGAGTATGGAATTTTTGTAAAAGATACCAACTCTGGTTTTGTATGTACTGCACACAGCTCACCATCAGCTATATTGAATCACTGATGCCCACCAGTGAACGCCAAAAGCAACTGATGCGCCAGTATTGCTTTGAATGTGACTGTCTTCTCTGCCAGAATCAAGAAAAGGTAAGTTGAGTGGAGAAATTCCTTGCCAATGGAACAGAATTTTCCAAGCCCTGTCAGTGGCTTCCTTTCCTTTACGTAATACTTATCTTTTGCTACTAATTGAATGGCCAGAATAGAGAAGAAAATGACCTCTGCCCTCAGTGCTGTTTATGTTGCTATGAAAGACAACCGTGAAGGAAAGAAAAGCAGGAAATGTTAACAACATGATAAGAAGAATTTCTTGCTAAAATGTGCATTGTTCATAAAGCTAGGAACCACTTTCAGTTCCAAGATGTGGTTCAGATAATTTTGAGGTTCAAGGATCTCTGAACATGAGAGTTAACATGACTTTAAGCTGAAAGGAAAGGATTTTTTTTTTCTATTAAAAAGAATAATCTTTGAACTTTAACTGAAGCCACTTGTCTGATGCTACAGGAAGGCTGTGCTTATCATCATAATAATGTTTAATTCTGACAAACACCTGCATCAATAACTTTCAAGAACTACCAGGCATATTCAGCAGTTGTTAGAGAGAGTGGTGAACCTCCTTGGATGACTGTTTGTAGTTTTTATGCTCTCTTTCACAAGTTCTTGGAGTAGCAGGTCAGTAGTTGTAGTAGATAACATTTTGATCAATGTGACCTTTTACTGGGGTTCAGCCTAGCCTGGTTTAATTATATTCTGGGTTCCTTCATATTTATACAGCCTGGCCAGAGTAATTTTGGCTCCAAGCCTGATGAGAGATGAAATGGAATATGCAAAATGAGGCTGGCTTCATAGCAGTTGATGCACTTTGTCTCTATAGTTATATGCACACTTGTTCTTATTTTCACAAATGCCTGTTTTGGGTGAATAACATGCCATAGCTAAATGTGTTCCCAGTAGATTAGAAATGGTAAGAAAGGTACTGATGAAAATGTGATTCCAAGGAGCATGATACGATTCATTAAATAATTGCTGTACAGCAAAAAAGAAAGAAAAAAAAACCCCTAAAGTTTAAACTCTGTGTTGGGTAGGACAGTTGTGTGTGTGTCGTTTTGTTCAAGCCAACATACACCCATTGAATACATAATGTATCCTTTGATTCATCAGTAAGCAGTTCAAAAAAGAGAACACAGAAAAGTTTCAGGCTTATGACATAATGCTAAATTACTTCCTGTCCATGTGCAAAAGTTGTTGGCATTCTGTGCCTGATAAAGATTGCTGCAATGCTACTCGGAGGCCATGAAGGGAAGTGAAGACCTCTTTTTGTCTTTAAGGATGCTCACTCAAGTGCCGTGAAATCTTAGATTAGTTTTGGGGAATGGCATCCCCACAGATGCAGTAACGATTAAGAAAAATAAGCAGGCTAAAGAGTCTTTGAGGATCGCTTAACAGTTTGTGAAAGGGTAGACAAGTGGTGTAAAGACCATTCAGCATGTGGAATGTCTTAAGAAACAAGATGCACAGACTGGAGTACACTTCACTGTAAAAGGCAACATACAACATCAAAAAATATTGTAGTGAAATTATATGTGCATATATTGATGAAAACAATAGTCTCATACATAGGTTAAAATTAAGTAATGATTTTTTCTCTTTGAAATTTTTAACTGTGATTGAAGTTCATATTTTATAGATCTTTTTTGCCCATTGGCAAAATTCCCTGTGGGGATGATATTGCAAAATGTTTGGAAAGCTCTTTGTGACTGCATTCTGAAATTCTGTAGTTTCCTCATTGTTACCATGTAAAGAGGTCTGTGAAGAGCTAGGAACCTCATGTCAACTTTGTCTGTTGATGTCTATGAAGAAGACATCTTTATCCTCAGGTTCAGTCTAGGATGACTACATATAATCTGCAGCAGTCCTCATAGTACTGCATTGCATTTCTCTGTGACAGAGATTTTATAAATACAACTATTTACATGACTAACTTGGAAACAGATTTTTTTTTTTCCCCCTTTGATCTCAGTCACAGTGAGTAAGCTGAGAGGCATGTAACACTGCAGCTACTGTGGGAGATAATATTTTCAGAAATTCTGATTTTTTAAATTACAGAATGGCTGGATTTAGATGCTTAAAAGTCATCAGTCGGCAAAATTATTCAATAATATCCCTGCTGACATACTCCTGATACTGAGACAAATTTCTAAGACATCTTGGAAAATTTTTAAAAGGCAAGGTCTTTGTCAACAGAATAGGCAACAGCTGCAACTTTGGGTCATCAAGGGTGGCAGATTCAACATTGTGATTCAATAAATATAATCAGCTAACAGTAAATTCACGTATTACAACATTGCTTTGCAAATACAATGGCTTAGTCAACAGCAATCCATCTCATAAATCTTTGTTATAGGTAAAAATGCAAATTCCAGTTTGGCTAGAAATGCTTTATACCTTCAAGTAAGTTCTTGGGTGTTGGGGATTTTTTCAGTTGTAGTCATCTCATCAAAAAAGCTAGAATCCTTTTCCTAACAAACACTTACAAAGATTGTAGTTTCTTGTTACTCCCAAATTGCAGTCTTGCTGAGTGTGCCTGCCAGCTGCTGAGCACATACTAAGGACCAGTGAAAGCAGAGGAATCACTTCTGAGATGCACACATCAATTTACAGTAAAACTATAAGTCATTTCCATTGTAACTTTTATTCTTCATCTTCTGTAAAATTTTAAAAGCCATCCTGAGAATCCTGTGGGAAATATACATTAAAGTTTATATGAAGGGCATATAAACCTTATATGTATTAGTACTTAGTTACATGTATGCTTATTTATTCATGTTTATAAAAATACTTTGCAAGTTTCTTATCAATGAAATTCATGTCTCCTGCTGTATTTTCTAAAGGCTTGTTCATTTAGTCTTATATGCCCAAGTGAAGAAGGAAGATGGTATCAAGTTTCTGTTCTCAAGTCAGTTACTGACTTCATAAGTGACCTTGGGTATTTCATTCTATTAAAAAGCAACCTCTGTGTTTTCTAAAAGCCTGCCCTTATTTTTCATAATTATTGAGAAGCTACCATTTCAACTGGAGCTGAACAGATTTTTCACTAGAAACCAGATCAGTCTGTCTAAATCAGGGACCATTTTTGTGAAGGTTCCATGAAGCTTTGTTTTGCTCAGTTTCCCCAAACGCAGCATGAAGATGGCAATTCATACTTCTGATGAGTATTCTGATGTCTGAAGACTAAAGAAAGACGCTGCATTTTCTAAGTTCTTTTAGCTTTAAGTGCTGGATTTGTTTCAGCGAGAATAATTCCTTGAAGTGGAATGGTCTGAGGTTTAGTTGTGTGCTTTATGCAGTTCCCATTGCCATGTGGTATCTTAGTGCTGTGTAAAAAAAAACCCCAACCCCCCCAAAAAACCCCTTGAATGGATATAAGAGAAACACAAAACCAAGAATCACATGATTACGTTTCTGTGCTAGCTGACATAGATAGCAGAGTGCAGTTGCAACTGTGTAGGTTTCAGCACACTAACATCCAGATTGCTGGTAAAATTTGTTTATGCAGGTCACTTCAAGCATTTGTCTCTGGCTGCTGCTGCAGACAAATCTTACGTCCAGTGTCACTGCTTCTTCACTGTTTTTTGTGCTAAAATTTATTAAACCCAGATAGTGGTTACATGATACTACAATCACACAGTTTAGCTCTGTATACAAACGAGTAGTGTGTCAAAGTGCTCTTTTGCCATTCTAGGTTACAGGATTCTGCGAGGGCTTTTTCTAATATTTCAGGTCTCTGATGAACTATCATTTAAGAGGCAACTTTTCTATGAAGAAATGTTCTTTATTTCTCATTTACAATATTACAGTATTTCATGTGACAGCTATATAAAACAGCAAAATTCACTCCAACACCAGCATTACTTTAAAATTCAGTCACTTGGTCTTTTTAGCTAGATATGGCAACTTCCTACAGCATAAGAATCTTCTCTAGCCACGGCCTAAGTATACACAGTTCATTTGCACAGTTGTCTAGATCTAAGACTGTAATATGGCAAAGGCTGCCTTTTCAAGTATACTGAAACAAGCTGCAGCCCAACCACAGGGACTCTGTTGAAGTTGAAGCTGTTGAAGTTGAGCATCAACTTCAACTGATGCACAATGGCACACTCAGTGCGAGCAGACACAGCCCTAGACCAAATGGAGAGGTCCATGGCTGTGCAGTCACAATTGCATTGCATATCATGAGAGCAAACATTCCTCACTGGCCACTGCTGATGAAAGGACTTCAAAGTGAATCTCTGCTTGCTATACCATAGTAGTTTTTTATCTGCCTCTCCAACTGTGAGCACAGCTGTAGTATAATCCAGGTGTATAGCTGTCATCAAGAATGATAAAATACGGATGCAAACAGTGGCAACTAGCTGGGCCTGTGGATCTCAATTAATCTTAGGTGCCTGGGCCCACAATGTCAGCTGCATTTTGAATCTAAGAGATCATACCATAATGCTGGCCAGTCTCTTTTAGCAACTGGTCAAGCAGCCTGGCTGCTGATTTGACAAGGGAAGAGTAGCAAGTGCTAATGCATCAGCGTAAATTGTTTAAGATAAGATTAAGGTGAATCTTTTGGCAGTACAGTTACTGCCAAATTAAAGTGGCACTAGCTACAAATCTAAGCAATACTTTTAATTGACTTTGGCCCAAGTTGAAAGAAAATATCAGTAACTAAAGGAGGGAAAAAAACATGTCTTTCTAAAAGTCACTCATAGAATATTTCCCAACTGTCAGTACTCCAAGTTATTGCTACTGTGATGTCTTCAGTTCATTGTAGCTCTGACAGTTTATACATTATTATTTGCTCCATTTTAAGATCAATCTCCACTGTAATTTGGAAATGTGTGCCTTCCTAAAAGCTGAACTCTTGGCAATGTAGTACCATTCCAGCACATAAAAGCCCTTTACATTAATTGTAGTTAAAGATGGGATTACATTGATGACAAACATTTTAAATGGAGAACATTTTTTTCCACACTCATGAGCCAGAGTATTGTTCATGTTCTACATTTTGAGCCAAGGATTTCAGGGAGATTTGTGCTTATAGA